GTTTTATTAGCCATAAAACCCCTTCTTTCCTCATCTTATAAATAGGGCCATATAGACCCACGAATTTTAAGAGTTAAAATTCACTTCTTAAACCTAGAGTAGAGAGGAAGAAAGAAGAGAACGCTAGCACGTTCCCTGCGGCCGATCCAGTCACGTGCGTGTGGATACCGGTAGAGCTCGGGATCGTTTTCTCGGACTGTCTGACATCCCTGATTAAGATTGTTATGTAAGTCCCTCTTAAATTCTTGTAATTTCGTTTATAATAAGAACCTCAGATCCGTTCATTTACTTTTGGGTAGAAAAATTTTTGTTTATTCCGCTGCGTTTTTCTGCCCGAAACCCAACATTTCCATCACCTCCATTGTAATCAGCAACTACACATTCGAATAATATACTTAATTCCACTCTTATTTGCTCACTTGTCATTTTCTTCATTGTTCTTGTACGAGACCCTATCTACATATAATTCTCTTTTTTAATTAGTTTTAGCTTGTCAAATTTTGTTAAAACATAGAGGGTGATGGCTGGTTGTGCGGAAGAACAACGGTGATAGCTGTTGTTGGCTGATGTGCTGCGGGAGAAAAAAAAAAGGTGAGAAGACGGAATGAAGAAAAAAAAGAAAGAGAAAAGAAGAAGGTAAGCAATGAAAATCGACACGTTGATTGCCACAGGAGCATGGTAATTGGTTAGATTATTTGTAGTGGTGTAGTATAAGAGGTCCAAAATGTTAAAAATGGAATTTTTGGACTCCTAATTTCATATAAGGATAGGTTAAATGGAATAGTAAAAGTGGGAAATGGGGTGGAGAGTTTTAAATATGGAGTGATGATGGACTCCCAATGCTAAAAATGATGGACATTTGTGAAGGAGAGTAGCAGAGAGGAAAGTATGCAACTGTGCATGTATGAGTGCATCATATAAAAAAGTTTGTTTTCCTTAAATGCATTATAACTTTTTTATTTTTAATTCAAATTTTAAAAGAAATATATCAAAATTTATGATTGTTTTTATCTTTCATATGACACCAATATGTAATGTATAAAATGAAAAAAAAATGGAGTTTTAACTGTTGAAGTTTACCTAAGCCTAAACATACAAAACACAAAGTTTAAATTTATGGAGCCTTAACAAATAACCGAATATTCCATAATCGTACTTTAATTGAATTAACTTCATTTTTTGTTAACCAAAAAAACGTTAAACATAGTTAACGAAATTTATTTATTTTTACATCAAAATATGTATTTTTTATTTCAAAATTAATCAGGGAAAAAATTAAAAGGAAAACATTACTTACAATAATTTAATTTATGTTTTATAAATTGATATGTTAAAAAAAATATGTTGAATGTATTTTATTGATGGTGCTGGAATGCAGAGAAATAGAAGTCAAAACATTGTTTTCATATAGGCGGAGTCCATTTTTGACATTTTAGCCTCCACACCACTCCAAATGGTCTTAACCGGATTACAACCGGCAAAATAACACATTTGAACATTTTATTAAAGTTTCAGGGTAAAATTGGGCGTCTGTTAAGTTTGGGGACCTAATTAACTATTTTATATACTATGAGGGCCTATTTGACACTTTTCCTTTCTTAATTTATTTATATTTTATCAATTCAATATCAACGTCCCAATTACACTTTTCTTATTAGTCGTATCACTCCCTCATGTCACAATCACAGAGGTTGGGGATAGTATTCATTACTACTAGTTTGATGTGTCAATAAGTTTGACACAATCATTAATAAAGTGGTTGAAAAAATAAAAATTATGATTAAGATTTAAATATAATAATATGAAGTATGACATTTATTTTGGAACAATCCCAAAAAGAATGTAAAACATGAAAAATGGGATAGAGGGAATATATTTAATTGATTATTGATAAACATTATGAGTAAAACAATTCGATATTTTTTAAATGGGAAAAATATCAAATCAACTCTCGAACTAACCAAAAAGTACAAATCACCCCTTATATAGGAGAATCTGTCCGGCCGTCGTCATTTGGGGACGGTACCCGGTAAAAAATTTTGATGAATTTTTTTGATCATATTCTTCATTAAGTCTAGTTTACTCATACCAAATTTCAGCTAACAATTCAACCGGGAAGGCAGTCAAATGAATTTTTGAAGATAACAACGTAGTTAAACAGCATAGTATATTTCAGAAAATCATTTGACTGCCTTCCAGGTTTAATTTTTAGCTAAAATTTGGTATGGGTAAACTAGAGTTATGAAGAAGATGCTCAAAACTTTTATCAAAAAATTCCACCTAGAACCGTCCCAAATGGCGATGGCCGGACAGAACCTCCTACATAAGGGGTTATTTGCACTTTTCTGGTTAGTTCGATGACTGATTTGCTACTTTTCCCTTTTAAATTGATAAATATTCTATAATACTACTGCCTGGCCTCCACCTTCTAAAAAGATAAATGGGATAGTACAATTACTAAGAAGAGTACAATTATTCTATTTTAATGTTTGCTACACTTTACTTTTTTGAATGTATTCAAAATTTTGCTACACTTCCCCCTTTTGGTAAGTTTTTCCTTTAAAAATACTCAATTACTCTTACTTTTTCTAACCATTTCTCCTACTTTTTGTACACTATTCATTACTCCTACTGTCTCACTCTAAAAAATTGTGCCAACACCTATTGTAGTAACAAAAAATATGGAGGGAGTATTTGATATTGAATTGATAAAATGTGAATAAAGTAAAAATGAAATGCATCTACCCAAATATTATCATATATTGTTGGAATATATTATCCGACCTACTATTCTTCAGGAGTCCAATGCATTGATCCCCATACGGAGCATGATCAGTGTGGCCAATCTCAGCCTCCTGGGCCCTTTCTGTCTTGTACCTATGGATGGACTAGGACGGAACCGGGTCCGGGCTTCGGGACATGATAGAGCAGGCATTGGGCTTAAGGATTTCAGGCCCAGTACCGGCCCAGGTTTGTACCTGTACCGGGCCGGATCGGGCATAAACAGTACCGGGCCGAGCTAGGCTTCGGGATGAGACTGGGCATTCAATTAAAGAAATAGTGCAATCGGGTCCGGCAAAAATCGAGCCCGAAACCCGCCCCTTATACCCACTGATCCGGGCCCCGGTCCGGGCCTATAAAGTAACAGGTCAGGTCAGACCTAAACAGTACCAGGCCCGGATCGGGTCCGGGTCAGTCCGACACGTCCCAGTCCATCCCTACTTGTACCCCTTTTTCCCTTTTCCATTTCCCTACAAATAGGAGGTTTCCCTCTTTGTTATGGATCCCCTTTTGGGCTCTTCTTCTCCACCGCCTCTTTCTCTCCCCAGATCAAGCTTTAAAGACTCCATTATGGAAGCTTGTAGAATGTAATAACGGTGAGGAGAGAATAATAAAAGATGAGAAAAAATTATCAAAAGTTTGCTCCGTATAAGACTGTTCAAATAAGGAGAGATATGTTTCGTTTGCTAATATTTATGTGTCTATCTCTTTCGTGCCACATATGCACAATACACATTGTGACATTGAAGATGTTCTTATTTTACTTTTAATAAGTTCCCTTGATATCATGGATAAATATTTATCAAAAAATAACAAGACCATTTAAATAAGAGGAATATATTATTTTATATTATACTCCGTACTAATTATTCCGTAATATTTATGTGTTTATCTTTTTCATGTCACGTACATTCCACGCATATTCTAACAATAGCTCAATGAACTAACAAGTATGATCAATGCAAAACGATGGTATACTTGTCCTCTTCAAAAGTATCACTATTCATTATTATAATTTAAACCCGTTTGAAGTTGTAATTTAGTAAACTGATCCAAAAATTATACATATTTTCAATAAGGCTTTTGACTTAAATATTATTAAAAAGTCTATAATTAACCAAAAAAGGATCTTTTTTTAATTTCAAAAATGTGATCAATAACCGTTAAACTACTAAATTACCCCTATTTGTCGTGATTGTGTTTTATAGTTACATGACCCGTCACAATGACACCCACCACTATTACATCTCGCAGTGACCACTGGCCGGTGATTGTCACCGGCCATATTGACACCTACAAAGTGACACCTCCACCGTGACTCCGTCCACAGTTATCTGACCAATGACTAACGCCGTGCCGACCAGTGACTACCACCGTAGCCAATCAGCATTGCCGCCAACTACCGACCACCGACCACCCTGACTGGACTCTCCAACCACCTCCCCAGCCCTCAACCTCTAGCCCACTGCTACTGTCGTAACTCTACTCGCTCGTCCACCACCACCATCATAACACTAGCCGTAGCCTCCAACTTTGCCGACCGCATCACCTCTCCATCAAAGAACACGAGGGATGTCAACGGTATGCTTCATATTGGGTGGCAAATCTCTAGATATGAACCTTCGCCATTGTTGGATAGAAAGGAAAAGAGCAGTGCCCGTAGAAGCTTGGCAGGCAGCGACATTACTATGTCAGCTGAAATCGAAACCCTAGCGCCCAACCTCCAACCACCACTATCGTAACCCTATCCGCCAATCAACGACCCTCGGCTCACAACCCCCAACCCTAGTTTTTACATCGCCTCCACCATTTGATAGGAAACACCACCGCCGAAGCACAACCACAACCATGGAGTCTGGCTCTGCACCTTTCACCTCAGGTCAGACAAAATCTGTGAACTCTTGTCATCAAGCACTAGTCTACCAGCATCGGCTTAGCCGCCAACCCTAGCCACCATTACCATCATTTGCCCTCTCCACGCAAATCAGACGGAATCACCATTCGATTATCGAGAAGATGAAAGGGGCACAAGAATTATGGGTTTTTTAGCTGACGTTGGTGAGAGTCACATGTGGCGGCATGGTATGGTGGAGGGGGAAGGGAGAAGTCCTCCAGGGAGAAGTCCATAGGGAAAATGTGCCTAATTGAGGCATTGGGCCTGGAGAAGTGCAAGGTCATTATAGGCTGTTCAATTAAAAATTAAAATGGATCAATTTTTTGTCAGGATCTATTCTTGGTCTCATTTTTGTCAATTCAAAACTCATTAGTATTATTTTTGACACTCTTTCAACTAAAAATTCACTCATTATTTATGGAAGTTGTTAATATAATTACAGGCTTACAATAATACAAGCAAAAGCACATATTGTAAATGAAAATGACATTATTAGGAAAAGAGCAATCACAGGCAGGCAGATAATTTTAGAACTTTTAAGCAGTGCCGTCGTACTGACTAGTGATGAGAAATTTATACATTGACATCCATTTTGCACCAATTGCCCATAAGTGATGCCATTTCCTCTGATTTGTCAAACAAACCTAGCAGTCCACCTGTATGTATGAAAAGAACCTTTCTCCCTTCCCACTTTTTTGGATTCTCACCCATATCTTTGAGCATCCCAAATGCCGCTTTCCCGCTGTATAAAGCAACAGAGAGAGAAAGAGAGTATTATCATAAGCATGCAGTAAATAGAAAGATATAGCATTAGTTATCCCGCCATCTTTAGAATCAAGTAAATAAAAAGATTTAATTCCAAACTAAGGTCACACAAAACATCAACCACATTCATTATAACAGTTTTTCCAAACCGTGTTTGTTCACTGATCTCCCAAATACATGACTTTAGCAACACACACATATATTATACATAATGTGTGTAGCACTTTGTGCATCTCAAATGAAGCACTGTTCAGCAGAATCACAAACATACTTGTCATCCACCCCAGAACTGCGGTTGACACTTGACACTGAGTCCAGAAAAAGAATTAATATGATTGAGAAAGACAATACCTATAAACGGGGTCAAGAACTACACCAGTGGTTTCAGCAATTTCTTTGACGAACTTGAGTTCCTCACTTGTGTTCATAGCATATCCAAGACCTTTGGCCTGCAAATAACCAGAGGGATAAGCAGTAACCAAGTTGTCAACAAAGATGCTTTTTTTTTCAATTAAAACAGTAGCAACAGATGAAGCAACCTGGTTGTGATAGGGACATGGACAGCAATAATAATGAGAATAATATAATTATATTAAATAATGTAATAAGGTACAAATAAGTGTGTCGGACCATATAATTCATGAGTTTGTGCCAGCCCTTAAGAATAGATTTACTAAAACAGGGGCAAGTGGTGAAGAAGGGAGGGATGCAGATATTCGGTTAGGCTTGGGCTTTGGGAGAGGGGACTGCTCTAAGTGTCTCGATACTGTTCTTCTTCATTTTCTGGTTTTCTGCTTGTTACCCTACTGGATTCTGAGGTTTTCCTTAGAATTCATTAAATGATACTACCTCCGTCCCATTTTATGTGTCTCACTTTGACTTGGCACAATTATTAATAAAATGGTTGAAAAAGAAAAAGTTGTGGTTGAGATTTGAGTATAATAAAGTGAAATGATGTAGGCCACATATTTCTTTCCAAAAGAAGAAATGTGACACTTATTTTAGGACAACCCAAAAAGGAAAGTAAGACAGGTAAACTAGGACGGAGGGAGTAGTTTTATATTACTGTGTGTTCTCGAGGTTCCTATCACGTTGACAAAAACCTGAATAGGAATCCTTACATTTTGGATGCTGACAATATCAGATGAGCTAATCCTTGCATCGAGTCCATCGAGCAGGAATTGAACATATTTGTAGAAGTACTCAGGATCATCACAGACACAGAATGCATTAACCTTCACTCAAAACCAAACCTCTTAGTAATGGAAATAAATAAAGCAGAAAACATAAGTGGATAAAAGTCATAAAACACAGCGTAAACAACAGTTACCTTTGCCTTCAAGCTACTAAGCCACGACCCAATTGATAATCCAGCAACTGTACCCCCACTGAAGTATCAAGAATAAACAATTCAGTTAACAGATTGCCATAAGGCTACAATGCAAATGCAAAACTCAATTAGTAGTAGTGTATATTGAGATGACATCTAAAAGAGTATATTTGAATGTTAATAATATACATTCATGGAAAAATTATACCAATGCTGTGTTTTTTTCTACTTATAACATAACTCTAGCTTTTCATTGGACAAAAATATGACTACTTTTAATATTTCCGAAAAAGTGATTAAAACAACATTACCCCGGTGCCCTAAAGGCTCTCACCTACGGCGGGGTAAGGGGAGACACATGTAAGCAACCTAACCCCTGTACTAAAGCACATAGAGACTCTTTCTGGATGACTCATGATGAAAATCGCGTCGAAAATTGCATGGACGGATTGCTGCTTCATAACAAAGAAGTGCAGACAGTCTAGTGGTTATTTTGCTTTATTCCATCATATTCCCAAGCCAAAAAATAGAGCGTTTTTGGCTCCATTGGAAATGATGGAAAAACCATGAACCAAAGGAAGTATCACATAAGCATGTTAACTCTTAAAAAAGGATTACATCAGCTAATTTACAGAAAGGTGACCATTTTAACCGGTCATTTGCAGATTTTTTTTCCTTCTTCTTTCTCTTTTTTCTTTCTTATTCTTTCTCGCCGGTTCTTCCTGCGCCCATGCGATGAACTTCTTCCAGCCTTCTTACCCTTCTTATTTTTCCTATTTTTCTGCTTTACCTTTTCTTTTTAATTTCTGTCTTCCTCACCTCCCCTGGTTGCCCAGCTCCTGTGCCCCCTCTTACACTTCTTCTATTTTTCCATCTTATTTCTATATTCTTCTTTTCTTCCTTTCCCTTTTCCCAAATTAGAGGATAATGTTTACATAAAGAAGGAAGATGAAACGTGTATAAGGTGATGAAACAAGTGCACTGCAACTTGTGGATATCTTCAAAATCAAAGCTTTGAGAGTATGAGGGCGGTAAGCAAACTAATAGGGGACATGTTGGGAATGATGGCGGCGGAGGCAGCATGTTAGAATCTGCAGAAAAGTTCTAACAGAATACACAAAGGAATCAAGAAACAAGGGGCAACTTTATTACTCAGGCTACAGTTTAGAACCTGCAGAATCAATTCTACAGAACAACAATGGATTTCAAGAGGAATTAGGGCAAACTTTATTACTCAGGCAACAGGGGCCATCGGCCAAAGGCTACAATCGGGGCAACAACTTTACAATATGAATTTCAGCATGCTTTTACAATCCCTTCTACTTCTATTTATAGTATGCTATGTAACTGCCAGCAGGTACTATAGTTATGACAACTAACTAACCCCGAGACCTTATTACGACTTATTCTAATTATTAATATTTTCTATAGGTCCCTAACAAATCTCCCCTCCTGAACATCCACCTTGCCCTCAAGGTGGACGAAAGGTAGCAGCCACAAGATCCTTTTTCTTCTTCATCCTAGCGCTCCTGCCTTCCCAATATTTCACAAATTTCTGAAAGAGAAACTTCATCATTCTGTCTTGCCAATTCACAGGTGTTTCCTGAACCTCCCTGCTATTGTGAAGCAACCTGGGAACTGAACCACCAATTGTGAATGAAGATACAAAGTTAGCTTCTTTCTTGGGCTGGATATTAAGATCAAAAGTCTCTTGTTCCATGTTCTGCCCCTGCTCATTCTCTTCACCATACAGTAGATACCTCTCCATAGTTGGGTGCAGAATCTGCGCATTGATTGTGTTAGAAACATCTTTTTCATTCAGAAGTATATCCCCTTTTATGGAACAGATTTGATTCTCTTGCTTCCAAATGATGGTCTGGTGTTGGAAGTTGACTGCCATATTTCCCAATTGAGTTAACCATTCCATACCTAGCACCAATTCTGTCTCTCCTAACTCTAAGATGTAGAATACTTGTTGTATTACATTTCCTTGTACATCTAATTTCAGTCCCAAACATCTGCCATTATTGGTAATGAACTCCCCATTACCAGTCTGGACCTTATAGCCTTTTATTTGATGGTAAGGAATTGTATACTTATCCACCAAATTCTGTGATATGAAATTGTTGGAAGCACCACAATCAATGAGAATGTTTACTGGTTTCTCTCCTGTAGACCAGCTTAGTTTTCCCTTTACTTTAAAAGTTCTCATAGAATGTATACCTTTATGGCTGAGCACAGACAATTGCATTGATTTTAGTTCAGGATGAGGTCCTTTTTCTTCTTCAGAACTGCTGCAATCCACTTCAGTTTCTGCCTCTTCTTCAGATTGTTCCATCAGAACCATTTTGAAATTTTTCATCCGGCATACATGCCCTCTATTCCAGTTTTCCCCACACTTGAAACATAATCCCTTCTTGCTCCTTTCTATCACTTCCTTTTGGGATAAACTGGGGCCTAGTTTTCCGGAGTTAGAGCCCTCACCACTCTCCACACTCTTATTTCCAGAAGACTGTGTAGGGTTTGGATTACTGCTACTTCTAATCCCTTCTTCCCATTTGTGATAACTATTTCCTTTAGATGCAGTGCTCTTCCATGGCCTTTTTCCTTCTTCTTTATTCCTTCTGGACATTATTTCCTCATTCTTATTCTCTATTAGTTGTGCATTATCCATGATTTTAGCAAGATCTTTGGTCTTATATAACTTCAGCTCAGCCTTGATATCTTTCTTTAACCCATTCAAGAAGATACCCCTCATAACCTTCCTGTCCAGACCTTCTTGAGAAGCAATGGCTGTTTCAAATAGTTCTCTGTACTCTTGTACAGAATTTTTCTGTTTCAAACTCAACAAAGGGCCCAAAGGATTCTGGATCAACTCAGGCTGAAACCTCCGAATCAGTGCCTTCTTCAACCTTTCCCAATTCCTCTCTCTGGCCTGTTTCTCCCACCATTGAATCCATCCCAGGGCTTTGCCTTCCATGGCTACTACTGCAACTTCTATCTTCTCCTCTTCTTCTATATTGTTGAGTCGGAAATAGCGCTCAATCCTGACCAGCCAGCCAAAAGCGTCTTCACCGTTGAATAAAGGTAGGTCTACCTTTCTGTGCGTCGGACGATGATGGTGGCGATGCCGGTGTTGTGGTTGAGCGAACTCCAAATGACCTTCCGATCCTTCGGAACTGTCAGACGATCGCAGTGAGTGATGATGCGATGAACGATGCGATGAGCGATGCGATGTATGGTGCGATGAAGTTGATGCGTGCGATCTACTCCGCGATCGACTTTTATTTCTCCCGTCCAGCCTCGCGAGAATCGCAGTCAACATATCCTTCGTTTCTTGATGGTTCTTCTCCAATTCTTCTACTCGCGCTTCCATCTTCCCTCGCGTCCAAACCATTAACGTCGATTAACCTCTCTGATACCAATGTTAGAATCTGCAGAAAAGTTCTAACAGAATACACAAAGGAATCAAGAAACAAGGGGCAACTTTATTACTCAGGCTACAGTTTGGCCGATGGCCTCAGGCAACATAGCGTTCACTTTACAAATGAATTTCAGCATGCTTTTACAATCCCTTCTACTTCTATTTATAGTATGCTATGTAACTGCCAGCAGGTACTATAGTTATGACAACTAACTAACCCCGAGACCTTATTACGACTTATTCTAATTATTAATATTTTCTATAGGTCCCTAACACAGCAATCAGTTATGACTTGCTGGTAGGTCTAAGTTGGAGGAAGAGCCTCGTTCGTAGTGGTGAAGGCCTCTCTTGTCACATATAGCAGATTTAGGATCAGCCTATAGTTCTATAATATAAAAAATAACATAAGGGAGAGAGAAGAAAACTACCTGCCACATGCTACAACTATGTCATCAAATTTTTGTTCAAGAGTTGCATGTTGAATCTGATGTTCAATCTCTCTAATAGCTTCAATATAGCCCCTGAAAGAGAAGAATGTTGTAAAAATACATAAAAGAAATTTTATTAATTCAGGACCTGAAAGATAGACAAACTATTAATTAGGGACATGAAAGATCACATGTGTTGATATAGGGATCAAATTATTGATAACTATCAATCTAAGATTTAAATTGTCATGAACTATATTATTATTTTTATTTTATTTTTAAATATGTAGTACTATGTATTATTTAGTTTTATTAAACTAATAAACTTTTTTGAAAGAAAAATTCATCAAAAATTAGCAATGGAATATATAAAATTTAAACAAATCAACACCTATATGAGTAAACCACACTTAATCATACACCAAATCATCCAACGAAGGGATTGTTTGTTTGAACCCATGAGAGACACGCTTAATGCCTTAATCCAGCACAAAATTCTCCAACTAACCCTGGAATTGTTAATTTGATCCAATCGGAGACACACTTAGTCTTGCACCAAATCCTCCAACCAAACAGGGTATTGTTAGTTTGACCTCTTACTGAAATTTCCAACTCCCACAAACCGCGATATGCCAGGTAAAGACTTGCAAAGAATACTGAACTGCATTTCTGCCTTAGAGTACTGAGCATGAGAGTTGCCTATAACAACCTCTGGCTTATGGGAAATTAGTAACAGTCAATCACCAATACCACAGGAGAACACCCGCACAATACGGTTAATCAACATTGCACTTTTAAACATTCCAAGAGAAAGGACAGACATTTCTCAAAGTTTAACCCAATTTGTTTAAAAGCAGCATGCACTGATCGGTTTTATCGATTGTTTATATGCTGCAATGGTATTTTACCGTTGACTAGCTAACTTCCCTAAATATTTTCAGGTTTTGACCTGCATTATTTGACCAAAGGGAACTTTAATGCTGGACTATTGCATCAAATAAAAACCTCACCAAGTTCCTAGCGAATTGGATCCACCAACAGGTATGACATATGGTTTTCTCCCTTCACGCACTAACTTTTCTTTCAATATCATACTAAGAGCCTGAAATTAAAAAAAAAATACAACATGCAAAACATAACAAAACAATACGTTTTAAAAAGATTGTTAAAATAGATGCAACTAACATCCTTGTCATTAGTTCATAGCACTCATTTAAGTTAATGTCAACCAACCTCCAGTCCTCCACAAATAAAGAGAAGCATGAATAGAGACTGGGTCTAAATTATGTGGTCTGGACTCAGAGATAACAACCCTGTTAGTGTATTGAAGACAATCAATCATTTTGGAGAAGTTTACCGACCAATTATGAATTTATGTCTACAACTGTTTTCTGGTTATAAGGGGGACAAATAATAATGCATTACTTTTCTTCAAAGCGTTTTTAGGCAGACTCAAAATTAGATGGTGTTAGACTGTATGACCAAATAATCTTCTAGAGGTTGTATTGATTTTCTCGGTGCGTTAAATAGTTATGTGTGTGTGTCAATAGTTCAATACATTACAAACATGATACAAGAGGAGAAGATGAACGAAGAAGATATGCATACCACACTTCCAATTTTAGCATACTCTTCTTTTGAAACAAGATGAATGTGAGCTCCAACTAAACGCTCAACAAGGAGATTCCCCGTCAATCCAGGATCTTCATCCGCAAGAACCTGAAAATGTCAAGGAAACACACAATTAGGGTAAGAAGGATTTCCAAAAGACATTTAAGTTACAATAAAGCGAGCATTTGTAACACACCTTTGAAGTTCGCAGTATGAGATAAGTGTCAAGATTCAGATACTTGGCAGCTACAGCAGTAGCACGACAATGATTACTTTGAATGCCACCAATGGTGACAATACAGTCTGCTCCTTGTGCCACAGCATCTGCAAACAAGAATTCCAATTTTCTCACCTTGTTACCACTCAATTGCATTCCTGAAAGGTCATCACGCTGTAGATACCAGGTTTTTCCTGTCAGAAAGGGATAACAGAATAGACAAAAGCACAATAGAAGTGGGCATAACATTTTGATGACGGATGAATAGTAATCTTAATCACCAAATCTACATTTCCAGTACAAGAAATGCTTTCACTTTATGCAATTTTGGAGCAAAGTTTGGTCATGGACAAGCCCCTTATGCAATTATGTTATAAACTCAAGTTATAAGTTATAACCCAGTCAAATAACAATACGAGTTCCCACTTCCCATCACCCCAATAAAAAGGGGCTTATTCATCTCTGGTTATTCTTCTCCGTCTTGATGACAATTCAAGTTGATAAATTTACTAAAATTGACTATTTGTGATCTTCCATTAATAAAGCACAAAGGAGGACAAAAACAGGGGCAGTAGTTGACTGGTTTACCTTCAACCAGACCTCAGTGTTCTTAGGCAGATTGGGCAGGTTCCATTTATGAATTGGAGTAGGAAGCTATCAGAAGAGTAAAATCGGGTAATTCAATGCATATAATACACAAGGCAGTATACATATATCGGTTAATAGATGTTGATCATCTTACGTGTCCGAGGGAGAAGACATGGGAGGGAATGGGGCTGAGCTGCGAAGCCCAGGAGGGAGGCTGGTAAGGCCTTTTCGCTAGGAATTGGAAGGCTGTTGATGCATCCATGATTGCTTATTTACTCCCAGAAGGCATTTTCGGTATTCGCCCGCCTTCGGTTGCTGCTATCAGCACTGTTGAAGAACAGAGGCATTTCTTGAACTCGATTTCGGGAGCCTAGCTTCAAAGTCAAACATTTTTTTTTTCTTTTCGTGACACAATTACACAAACCATAAATTTTGTGTGTACGAAAATTCACAAAATGAAAAGAAATTATTTGTTCATAGCCATTTGAATGACATGTAAAATGATGTGTATTTTTTTGTGTACGTAGCTTTGTTGGTATCCATAGCTAAAAGTTGGATTAAAATAATTTTTTTAGAGTAAAGATTCTAAAAATCCTCACTCTCATATATTCATATTTATTTTATTTATTTTTTTATACATGTAATATTGATGTTATATGAAAGATAATAAAAAATTATGAATTTTGATATAATTTTTATAAAAATCGGATAATAAATAAATAAGTTATTGTCATTTAAAAAAAGTAGGGTTAATTTTGATCGGTAGCTTCTCATTATCAACTCCTTCGGAGTACATTGGGAAATACTTTTAAGCCAACCCTAATTCTGTAAATAGTTTTTTATTTAACATTAATCTGGCAAAAACTAAAAAAAAAAAGAGCTTCAAACTGAGCTTCAAATATTTATCCGAACAAAACTATAGAACATATTCTATAGTAACATTCATTTCTATAGTAGTATTCATTAGTACACCTAAAAACTACATAAAATTATATACAAAGTATTATACTTCCCATTCTTTAATATTAGTTCTCTTAGGCTTTGACACGAGTTTTAAGAAGCAAGTAATAGGGATAGTGTGAAAGGTGTAATGAGTAGTGGGTAAATGAAAAAATAGGAAAGAGAAAGGGGTAATGGTAATAAAAGTGAGGCTATAAAGATATATTGATTGTAAAAACTTTCCTTAAATGGAAAGGGGACAAATAAAAAACAATCCAAAATGGAATGAAGGACTAATAATAAAGAACAGAGGGAGTATACAAAATTCTACATGTTTGTTAAAATTTAAACAATTTTATATATTCAAATAGGATTATTAACAAACTGAAACTTGTCATTATTGAGCATGAGCTAACTTTCTATATCGAACATATTTATAGAGCTTATTGAGTGCTTGATTCGAACATCAAGCACCTATTAAGTTGAACTCAAGTCTCATTCGTAAAGCTCATCGAGCTTTGAGCTCGAACCCAACACACTATTACTAAATCGAGCTCGAAGTTGAATGACATTTTGCAAGGACAAAGTAAGCACACTAGGATGGTACAAAAATATTTCCTGAAACAAAAATTACAATGAATTTTTACGTAAATAATTAAGGCATTCTTATCGACATAATGTCATAATCTACATCTTCATGAAAAAACATGAAATGCAGAAAGTTCTTTTCAATTATTTATTTATTGTAAATTAAGGCATTTTGCAATTTCTCATTATAAAAAGTTATCATTATATGAAAGTTCTCATCAGAACTCTCCCCTATATGTCATCGGACACAATTTTTTCTCTTTCTTTTTGTTCCAATCTTGACAAGTAGCTCATGTTTCCATCTGTTTTCATGTTCTTTTTTCAAAAGACAAAAACTTCGTTTTTTGCATCTCAGAGTCACCTCAATATTTGACTTCACACCCCAAATGCAGGGTATAACAAAATTTCTCAGGGAAAACTGTCAAATAGGTCCTCAAACTTTCATTAAAAAGTCAAATAAGTCCTTATATAGGAGACTATGTCCGGCCATCGCGATTTGGGGCAGTTCCCGGTGAATTTTCTTTTAAAAAAAATTTGAGCATCTTATTCATCAAGTCTAGTTTACTCATACCAAATTTCAGCTAAAACTGCAATCGGTAACACAATCAAATTAATTCTTGGAGATAACTGTTCATTTAACTGCACAATTTTCTTCAAGAATTAATTTGAATGCATTCCCGATTGAATTTTTAGCTGAAATTTGGTATGAGTAAACTAGACTTGATGAATAAGATGCTCAAAAAATTTCATCAAAAAATTCCACTGAGAACCGCCCCAAAACGCAACAGCCGGACAGAGCATCCTATATAAGGACTTCTTTGACTTTTTTTTTGAAAGTTCGAGGACCTATTTAACAATTTTCCCAAATTTCACATGATTGCATCTCATGTGATTTTTTTTTTACCTGAGGGATGCAATCCCTCAGTTACTATCAAGATTTTTTAAATATCAAAACTAAAATATTGCAACACTGAAACATGACATTTTCGGGAGGAAGTGAGGGACGAAGGAGTAAGCTAATCCTCCCAAAAGGCCAAAACACTTTTAATGTGAAAAAGGTACAAAAGATGGTGATAGTGTAAATACATACAGTACAATTTAGATGAGCTTGCTTCATTACGTACACTCTGAACTAGTTTTTCTTCTTTTTTAAATATCAAAATTGGGGCACGTGGTCGCTATAAGAAAAACTACGACCTAGAAACAATACTCCGTATCACACACATCATGTACAAACAATATTATCATAGCACACACCCTATAGAAGCTAGAGGTACATACATTCTCTCTAATGGTGTTGCAAGAAATAAAATCCCTTCCACCCTACGATGAGATGGGTTCGTAAGGATATGAGAGCCAAGGGTGCTTTAGAGCCTCTGCAGCGGAGGGACGTTTCTCTGGGTTTATTTCCAACAGGTGAGTCAAGAAGTCAATGAAGCCTTGATCCTCGACCGGTAATCGATGCCGCAACGCTGTTTTCTTGGGAATTAGGTACTCCATTTTGTTGGTTTCCTGATGAAAGTAAAACATACGCGGTGTGTGAGGTGGTGCGCAATATTATTATATCCAATATATGCACGTTTCACTGATTCAAATAGTTATTCATGACCAGAAGAAATTTTAAGCAACAATTAAATACCGCTAAGACAATGAGTCAATGACAACAAGCCAGAGCACTAAAATTAGACCACTGCATAGAGATTGAATACTTCACCTGATTTTTTTCATACAACATGTGATTTTTGGTGAAATACTTATAAGTGTCTTTTCCTTTGGCAAGCATCTCTTGGTCCATAGGACCTAAAATACCCAACACTCGAGCAAGCAAAGTGGCTGGTGAGTCGTTTTGGAAAAGGACCTGCACATATGAAAAACAGTTTCACCTTCTGCTCTAGGATCCCAACAAAAACATATCATCTTTCCAGAACCAAAAAATACGCATCAAGTATATATTCCTTAAATCATACTCCCTTGGTCCCAAATTATTCTTCTTTTTAGCAAATATTTTTTATCCCAAAGTAATTATCTTTTTAGGAATTCATAGCATATTTTTTAATATTCCAAATTTTCAAAATTACATTTTGTTTTGCCTTGAAAGCATAAGAACTTCAGAAGTATTTAATGTTGAATTTGTATAGGAATAAAACTGTCATTATGTATATGTAACATATTTCTTAATATGTGTACACTATTATAGAATTCAATTAAATTGGGACAAGGGTATGACGTAAACTTGTTTCATAAGAGCAACTGCTCTTAAATTAAGTACAGAGTTACATGCTCCTATCTTCAACCCTGAGGAACTTACATTGCCAGTACAAAGTTCTGCCAATATGCAGCCAAGTGACCAGATATCAATCTTTTTATTGTATGGAAGCCCCAAAATCACTTCAGGTGCACGGTATGATCTAGATTGAACATATGAACATAGATGGTCCGTTTCAAAGCAACTGCTACCAAGATCAATCACCTTCACCTCACACCTACTATAGCTTTTCACCAAAATGTTCTCAGGTTTCAAATCACAGTGTATAAGCCCAAGACTGTGCAGGAACTGAAGTGCCTCCAAGCACTGAGTTGTAATTGACTACAAATGACATTAATAAGCCAGTCAGATAAAAAATAACTGCATCATCCATAACGTGATCGCTATGGAGCAAACCTGCAGTCTTGGCATAGTAAAGTAGACTTCCCCTCCAGATTCTCTATTAAATTTATGGAATTCGTATAGATTGGCTTTCAGGAGTTCACACACAATCAACAGATGCTCCTGAAAATAAACATAATAGTCATTATAAAGACTTTGTTCTGATTATATTCACTTCAAGCGCTTTAGGTTAAACATGTGAATCTACAGAATAAAGGTTTCCATTGAAGCGTTATATGAACCAAAAAAGATTTTCGCTAAAAGAATTTTTTAAACAATTCAATAGTTCATCAAAGGTGATGAATACGGAAAACTGATGCCTCAAATTTTTACACAAAAGTTGCTGGTAGATCTTACAAACATAAGGAATAGGCTAGCAATAATGTTATTATCAAGTAAACTAACTCAGACAATCCTCCAAACTAAACACAGTTGTAAGAGCTCAGAAAGGCAGGATAAAAGCCACATATGCAATATGGGACAGAAGTGAGCGCAATAAAACAACGGATGGGAATATAGTCATATGCAATGTTTGGGAGGGAGAAAAATAGGAAAGGAAAAGCTCTCTTCATAGCCATCAAAGGCGAAGTGTGTTCACTTACTCTATAATAGAAGTAATCATAAAGCCGAAGCACATGGTACTTATCACCAGGGTCATTCTTGTTGACAAACTTGAGAAGTTTTATCTCATCAAGACTCTGATCAAAGAAATCTTTGTTGTTCTTTATAACCTTAACACATACATCCATGCCAGTATGAAGGTCATGTGCTTGAATGGCTTTACTGAATGCAGCAGACCCAAGATACTCAGTGACATGATAGCGCCCAGCTATTACTGAATTTATAACAACTTCGAAATTTTTGTCCTCCTCGAAACCAGTTCTGAGAAGAAAATTGAGTTCTAGTTAACAAAACAGGTATTTCGAATAACTTATTCCTTCTAGATAGCTCACGTAGTCTTAGCTATAATTTAGAAATCATGTAAAAAAAAGTCCCAATGGAGAAATTCAGAAAACCAACAAGTATCATTCTTTTGGATGGTAAAATAACAATCATAGAAAACTAACGTGGGAAGATAATACATTGTCATATTACCAAAGTCAAGTTTTCAGATATGAAAAGACAAAATCAAACAACAGTATAGCTTCGCACATTGACACTTTCTCTATGTCGAAGTGCCAAACAAACAAACAGAGATATAAGAAAGATGTTTACACTTCAGGCTTATGTTCTCCACCTCAACGGCAAGCCAGTTAATTACATAAGTCCATATAGGGGATCGCATAAGCCAGCTATTTCTATTGCACATATCATGTTCCAGGTTTTTAAGGTCACATATTTAACATTTGTGTTTCCAGAATATCCTTTAACCTTACACAAACAAGCTAAATACTTCAAGTCACTATGGTGCTACAATGGAGATTACTTTCATGAATAAGAACCAATACAAGAAATCATCATGCTGGGGCAGAACACTAATAAGAAGAAAACAGTTTGCTAAATATAGCATTAAAAATAAGATATAGGAGCAATGCCGTAAATCCATCATTATCAATATGGTATACTGAGTTGCAAATGAGTTTTTGTCTCATTATTTATTGTAGTTTGAAAAGTAGCACACTACACAACAGTCAATATTGATGCATAGAGAATTAAATATATTATCATTGTGGAAACCCTAGTAGTATTGGGCTTAGCCCATTTTGTATATCTTGTATAGGAAACCCTAGGACTCTAAATATAGCTATAAATATAGCTTCTTGTATAGGATTTCATATGAAGTATATTGAATACAATCTTATATTTTACATGGTATCAGAGCCAGTGTGGCAATATTAGTGTAGTGTTTATGATTTTTTTTTCTGCTGGTGTAATTTCCGGTCAGAATTCCGGCGTGAACAGTGTCGTCACTTTCAATTGAGTGCTTTCGGTAGTGATATCAACCTACCGCCGTGCTCAAAGGTACATCGTGACTTACCGCCGGAGGAATCACCTGCGCCGCATCATCCACGCGCCACCGCGTGCCGCTGAAGCATACTTCTGCAGTTTTTCATTTTTGCAGATCTCTCTCTTTCTGCTTATCTGGCGTTGACACCTCCAACCAGCGGAAGATCCTGAGTTTCCGGCGACCAGAACGACGTAAAACTCGCCGCCGTCGACCGCTTCACGCGCCGCCGCCGTCGACCGCGCCGCCGCCGTCGACCGCCGTCTCCCTGCATCGTACGCTCGCCGCCGACCGCCGTCTCCCTGCGTCGTACGCTCGCCGCCGCCGCCCTGCAGTCTCCCTTCGCCGTCGTCCGCACCTCCCAAAGATGATAGAGGTCTGTTTTCCTTCATCCTTGTGTAGCTACAGTGCTTCAACCTGATGCCTTCAACCTTACGGCTGCTTCACTTCAATTGCAGTTGCACTACTTTAAATATTTTATTTTTTGCTGCTCTTTAAAACAAAAAAAAAAAAAAAAAAAAAAAAAAAAAAAAAAAACAAAACAAAAAAAACAAAAAAAAAAAAAAAAGACAGAAAAGAAAAAAAAAAAAAAACAGAAAAAAAAAGAAAAAAGGAAAAAAAACAAGCTGTCTTTTATGAATTCTGACGGAGGAAACAACACCGGATTCTCAAGACGGAACCGTCCTAAATGTGATTTTTGTCATAAAATTGGTCATACTAAAGACAGGTGTTGGAAATTACATGGGAGACCTCCTACCCCAGTCACCGTTGCTCAGATCCCACCATCTCCCATTGTTCTGTCTCCAGAAGAATATGCAGCATATCAGCAATTTAAGTTGACTACTATGCCATTATCTACAACGGGGATGTCTACCGCTTGCGTTTCAAACACAGCAGGCTCATGGATAATTGACTCAGGTGCCTCGGACCATATTTCTGGTAATCCCAATCTTTTATCCCATATTACCAAGCACCGACATCTTCCTTTGATTACTCTTGCTAATGGCCTTCAAACTTCGGCTTCGGGTATTGGGCAAGCGCTTCCACTTTCATCCTTACCATTAGACTCAGTCTTATATGTCCCAAACACCCCTTTTAACCTTGTCTCTGTCAGTAAAATTACACGTGCTCTTAATTGTTCCGTAACATTTTCTGCTGATTCTGTGATTGTGCAGGACCGTTGTACGGGGAAAACAATTGGCGTCGGCCATGAATCTCAAGGTCTGTATCACCTCCATCCTCTTGATCCAATCGCTTGTGTTTCAGTTGAACCTGCTATTACCTTACATAATCGTCTGGGTCATCCTAGTCTCTCAAAGTTTCAACGTATGGTTCCAGGTTTCTCCAATCTTTCATCTTTAGAATGTGAGTCATGTCACCTTGGAAAACAACCTCGTAAATCCTTTCCAAGGAGAGTCAATAACCGGGCTACATCACCGTTTGATTTAGTTCATACAGATGTATGGGGTCCGTATCGAGTCACTTCTACTTTAGGTTTCCGTTATTTTGTTATTTTTGTGGATGATTTTTCCCGTTACACATGGTTGTTTTTAATGAAAGAGCGTTTTGAATTGTTTCATATTTTTCAAACTTTTTGTGCTGAAATTCAAACTCAGTTTGGTCATTCTATCAAAATTTTACGCAGTGACAATGCTAAAGAATTTTTTGGGGCATCCTTTAATCAATTCATGACATCACGGGGTATGCTTCACCAATCTTCTTGTGTTCACACGCCTCAACAAAATGGGGTTGCTGAACGCAAGAACCGGCACTTGGTTGATACTGCTCGTACCCTATTATTACATTCCCATACACCACCTCAGTATTGGGCAGATGCTGTACTCACTGCGTGTCATTTAATAAATAGAATGCCTTCCTCAGTTCTTAATAATGAAATTCCTTATTCTATTTTGTTTCCTGCTCGTGATTTATTTCCATTACCACCTCATGTGTTTGGGTGTGTGTGTTTTGTCCATGATACGACACCGGGATTAGCTAAAATGGCGGCTAGGTCAATAAAATGTATCTTTCTTGGATATTCACGACTCCAAAAGGGGTATCGTTGTTATTCTCCATTACTTAAGAAACATTTTATTTCAGCTGATGTCACTTTCATTGAGTCGTCCTTTTATTATCCATTATCTTCAGTTAATACCCCATCATGTTTGGACTTCACCTCATATCTTCGGCCCATCCATCAGGAGCCTCCCATTAACCCCCCATCTGATGAGCACCCAAACTGCCCTCCTATGTCAGATCGTCCATTACAGGTATACCATCGACGTCCTCGACCTCCTCCCATTGAGCCCATCATGGCCACGCCCGTTGATTCCCCTATGACGGATCCTGCATCACCACCATCACCTACTCCAGCACTTGACACCACTCAGGATAATTTGCCAATTGCTCTCCGAAAAGGTACGCGTTCCACATTGAATCCACATCCCATATATAACTTTTTGAGTTATCACCGCCTCTCTACCCCTTACTATGCCTTTATTTCCCACCTATCTCATATATGCATTCCTAAAACCACACATGAGGCACTGACACACCCAGAGTGGCGTAAAGCCATGTTGGCTGAGATGGAGGCTCTTCATTCTAGTGGGACATGGGACTTAGTCCCCCTTCCCACTGGCAAATCAGTGGTGGGATGTCGGTGGATTTACACGGTTAAGGTTGGGCCTGATGGGGAGATTGATCGTTTTAAAGCACGCCTTGTGGCGAAAGGGTATACTCAGATATATGGCTTGGATTACACTGACACTTTTTCTCCTGTAGCGAAGATTGCATCAGTTCGTTTGGTTTTATCCATGGCAGCAATGAGCCGCTGGCCATTGTTCCAATTGGATATTAAAAACGCATTCCTTCACGGAGATCTGCACGAGGAAGTTTATATGGAGCAACCACCTGGATTTGTTGCTCAGGGGGAGTCTGGTATGGTGTGCAGATTACGTCGTTCATTATATGGCTTGAAGCAATCTCCACGTGCATGGTTTGGGAGGTTCAGTGCCGTTGTTTGCAGCTTTGGCATGATTCGCAGTGATGTTGATCATTCTATATTCTACAGACATTCTGCTGGCAACAAATGTATTTATCTTGTTGTGTATGTTGATGACATTGTCATTACAGGTAGCGATGATCAAGGAATTGCTCTCCTCAAGCAACATCTGTTTAGCAAATTTCAAACAAAAGACTTGGGAAAGTTGAGATACTTCCTTGGCATTGAGGTTGCACAGTCTCAAGATGGAATTGCTCTCTCACAAAGAAAGTATGCCTTGGATATTCTTGAGGAAACAGGTTTGCTAGATTGCAGGCCAGTGGATACACCAATGGATCCGAACGTTAAACTCGTATCAGAACAGGGAGATCTTTTGCCCAACAAGGAAAAATATAGAAGACTCATCGGAAAATTGAATTATCTTACCATCACGAGACCAGATATTTCATTTGCGGTAAGTGTTCTTAGCCAGTTTCTTGATAAGCCATGTACTGGACATTGGGATGCAGCTATTCGAGTTTTGAGATACATCAAGAAAACTCCAGGACAAGGATTGTTGTTTGAAGATCGAGGCCACCGTGATATTGTGGGATACTGTGATGCAGACTGGGCCGGATGTCCGATGGATAGACGTTCCACTTCGGGATATTGCATCTTGATTGGTGGAAACTTAATTTCATGGAAAAGTAAGAAACAAGATGTGGTTGCCAGATCTAGTGCTGAAGCAGAATATCGTGCAATGGCCCTTGTTACCTGTGAAATCTTATGGTTGAAGCATCTCCTCCAAGAGTTAAAATATGGAAACACAAAACCAGCTCAACTCATGTGTGATAATCAAGCTGCAATGCACATCGCATCAAATCCGGTATATCATGAGAGGACAAAACATATTGAAGTTGATTGTCATTTTATCCGAGAGAAGATCACCAGTGGACATATCATCACAAAATATGTGAACACAACTGGACAACTTGCAGATATTTTAACTAAGTCTCTTAGAGGTCCTAGAGTGGAATATATTTGTAACAAGCTTGGTACATATGATTTATATGCTCCAGCTTGAGGGGGAGTGTGGAAACCCTAGTAGTATTGGGCTTAGCCCATTTTGTATATCTTGTATAGGAAACCCTAGGACTCTAAATATAGCTATAAATATAGCTTCTTGTATAGGATTTCATATGAAGTATATTGAATACAATCTTATATTTTACAATCATAATATCATTAATTCAAAAAATACAAAGTAATACCAGAAATAAAAAAGAAATCAGCGATTGAAATAACAAATAGGAAAAAGCAAACACCTGTTTTTCCTGTGCACAATTTTGAGATTAAAGGTTTCAAATTCTTCCTCCTGTGCCTTTATCTGTTTCACTTGTTCCTGAACTGCAACTACCTCTTCATCTTCCAATGATGCTCCCTGATCTTCTTCTCTTGCATTTACTTCTGCATCATGTTCTTTCTTCGCAATGTCATATTCCATATAACCATCATTTGAAAGAGATGAAGAACTAGAACTTGCTGATCTAGTAACATTTGCATCATTTTTGTATCTTGAGTTATACACAGGTGATGACTCACCACTCTTTGGGATGAGTATGTCATCATTCGCCAAGTAATCATCACTGTCATCAGCTGCTGCTGATTTTCCACAGTCACTTTGAATTAGTTGTCCATCTCTAGGTGGAGGAAATGGTAAACTCCCATCTAGATGATTCTTTGATCTCTTCGAAGAAGTCTTGCTCGAGGCATCCCATACTTGTCTGGACCCACCAACACTGACATAACTATCACTGACGTATTGAATGTCCCCATCAACACTCAGTCCAACCTGGCTTTGCCGAACTTCATTAGCAACACAAGCAGCATCTTTGCTAACTCCAACACCAATGGACCTAACTGACTCATGGTGATTATCATCCATGCAAACCTCATTTAGATGAGGTTTCACACATTCACTTAGGAACTTTTCATCCCCTAGCATGAGAAGTTCATTTGTCTGTGTGACAAACCCTTGCCACACAGGCTCTGCACGGACCAGATTTGGTTCATACTCGTCTATCAAATGGCCATCACATTCAGCAGTGAACTCATCAGTACCTCTCCAGTATTTTTCTGTGACTACCAGCTCTGTGAGATCATCTCCATGCCCAATTCCATCAACAGCTCTTGATTTGACATACTGCTCGCGCAAGAAGTCAGAGTCTTCTTCTTCTGCAAATGATTGTTCATCTTCTTCTCTGTTTTGACTTCTTTGAGGATCAGGAACATCCTCATCTCCTGTTTTGTTCTTAGGGTCAATTGGATAATCAATTTCATGGGCCAAAAACCAGTCCTCATCTTCAATAGGTTGTCGAGTGTAACCTACATCATCATCATCATCATACTCATCAGAATCCCAATACTCATTTGGATAGTAACCTTGTTCACTAAGTCCACCAATACTTGCAAAACCAGAAGCAAGGTCAGAAGTGTCCTCAGCAATTACTTGACTCGCAGAGAGCAAACTACCTCTTCCAAAATGCCCTTTAACACCTGCACATAATTAGAATGGCGTGATCAACATATTAAGTATTAACAAATTAACATGAAACAAACCCATAATATATAGAAAGGGGGAAATACAACCTTTCTCGGTCGTTCAACTGGTTTTAAACCAGGAATAAAAAGTTATCTGAGGTTGCTAGTTCAATTACCATAGAGTCACTCGAGGTTTTACCCAGTCATTAACTTGAGGTCCCATGGGATTATTCAGGTCAAATTAGTCCCAGACCCCCAGGCACCCACATTATAAAAACAAAAGAGGAGACACTCATACGTCTGTAACCTATATTCACTTATCGAAAGTCAGGAGTTAATTATCAAACTAATACCGTTCAAAAGCCTAGAACCTTGAAGCTTCTTTGTAGCAAGAAAATCAGCAATGTTTCAATTGTATATCATTGTCTTATCTCAATATTCTTCAGTAAAACCCACTATCTAAAGTCACATGCCTATCAAAGTTTAATTTGAGTGTGTTAATTATTAGTTACTATCACGAAATCTGACAATGTTTGATGATCCAAATTCAGTTTACCAGAGATTCCTATGAGGGGGGGGGGGGGGGGGGGGGCTTGGGTAAACAGGGCTGAAACTCCCTCCATGGAGTTTCGAACCTGAGACCTACCATATGGGAGAGTGAGTCAGCTGTCAGTTGAGCTGACCGCTTCCTCAGGGTCAATCAGCCTTATCACTGATAAATAAGGAAAATAGCTGCACAAAATTCCAAATGAGTGACAAGGGGGATTGACCGAAAATAAAGTAGCATGGATTACAGATATAAATGCTAGGCCAAATACACATCACATCCACTGAGAAAGTAAGAGCCAAAGTTATAAATAACCATGGACTAGCCTTTAAACTCCAACAGGTCACACTCTAAACCACTCGGCAAGAAAAATAATAACTCCATGGATTATAAAACATAGGGATGTGGCATATTTTCCCATTCACAGCCTACTAAAACAAAAAAAATGAGTCGAAGTTAGAAATTATAGGAGCAAACCTGAAGGGTTGGTTTGTTGACCTACAGCAACATCCAGAAATGATCCCGTAAGATAAGTTTTATCAGTATCTAATATACTCGAGTCATTTCCATCTCGCTCACACTTTTCTTCCCAAAGAATATTAAATGACTTCTCTTCTGATTTGAGTCTAACAGGCGGCAAAATAGGTAGCTCTTCTTTTTGGCTCTCTGATGCAAGTCCAAAATCAAAGCCACTAAGATCCTTTGGCCTGCTTCCACATGCTCTTGCAAAGTACAATCTTTTTCCAATTTCATCCACTTGCTCCTCTGTAGCTGTCTTAATGTCAAGCATCTCAGGCTTTCCTTTCTCTTCTATTTTATCACCAATAACAGTTTTATGATCATACCACATTGATGCATCTTCCTTAGAGAATGGAAAATTAGTTTCCGGGGCACAGTCATTCCATGATTTATCAGAAAATGCATCTTGTGGGCAAGACCCACTTTGCTTTTGAATTTTCTCCTGCTTTCTTTCCATAATGGTTTTGTTAGAACTTCCTAGAGATGATTTTCTCAGCTCATTGTGTGACTCGCTTGGATTAGGCAATTCCTTTCCAATAACTGGCTCCATATCAGCACTTCCACAATCATTTTGATGAGAAACAACAGGTCCATTATTAGGATTGTAATTCAGCGGGTACAAATCAAATGCAATCTCTTTTGAACCATTAGATTTGAAATTGTTTTCACTTGTACTAACTGACTCACTAACTTTGCCTTGCTCCCCTGAATTAGCAACATTCTTCCACTTGCAACCTGGCCCATTCCTCCAGGACCCATACTCTATCTCACTAACTATGAACTCCTTTGAGACATCAGTGCTGCACCTGAAACCCATGTCTCTTCCAGACTCCCCTTTATTGTGATAATCCATCCCCAGATTCTCTCTAGAGGTTTTCCGTCCATTGGATTCGTCCAAATGTCCGTTCAGCACCTTGTGCTCTAGAGTGTGCTTTTGAAGTACTCCATCTGTATCAGGCTGGTTAGTCAGTTCATCACGCAATGCAGCCTCGGCCTTAGTAAAATTGTTCCTTCTTAAAAAATCTAGAATTGTGTCTACTGAACTCAAGTCTCCCATTGGCGCAAACAAACTTGTAAGGCCCCCTAAAACCCTAGCACTACCAATATTTCACTGAACCTGAAAATTAGCAAGGTGATATAAGAAAAAATAGTGAAGCAGAGATTAGAACAATAGTTCTAAAAGATGACATGTTTAAACAAGTATCCAAGACAGCTAAAGCTTAACCCTACAGCAACATGGTAGCATCAAAATGTCTAATCAGAGTGAGGAAGGAAGGGTGAGCTTACATACTTGGATGTTAGATCCCACAAGGCAAAAAACAAACAAAAAGGGAAAACACAGGGAACTGGAATGCATTACCAAATTTACTTGTACAAAATAGCAAAAGAAAATTTAAGGAACCAATGGCCAAAACACAAGAGCTCAAATTGTTTTTGATACCCTAGAAAGCAAAGCATCAACTTGGAAGAATTGATTTTTTAAAAAAGAAGACAGTGAAAGTCTGAAAGATACTAACCCAGAATAATATATGGAAACAGAATAAGAATCTACAAGAATGCGGAAAGATAAGAGCTTTTTAGAGTTGATGAGTGGAAACTGGAAAATGGCAATTCAGAAATGGGGGTAATTCAATTCAATACCTCCGCAACCAAATTGTACCCAATCGATTCCATCGCCAAAACAGGACTGCCATTCTCTGAGATGGGAAGTCAAGACACTTCGTGCGCAAACATAACCTTAAAGACCTTAACACCCCACACGCTAATGACAGTGATTATCTCCCTCTCTCTCTCTCTTCTCAAGAGTACTTTTTTTTAGAGAGAGGAGGAGGAACGTGGTGGCCTTCTGGCCTGGTAATGGTAAGCTTTTCTTTTTTAGGTTGACCATTTTGGCCTTCTTCTATTCCGGCCAGGCTTGGGTCAACCTTGCATATACGTCTGTATACATTCTTCTAAGATTCGTTCACTTGCTAAATGCTAATATCACACACCCTTGGTAAGATCGAATCTACCCACTTCCCAACGCAGACTTGAAAGCCAACCTTTGTTTCCACTTTTTACTACCTAGGGGAAAAGAATATCAACCCTTGATTCTTCCATTAGAAATAATTTAGCAATGTGTGAAATGGAAATGGAATAATAATAAAAGGATTAGATGATAGAGAATCATTATTTAACACGATATAATTAAGAATGTAATTAAAAAGTTATTTTTATCCGCACGGGTAGCTCGGTGATTGAATGACACAGTTGGTTAAAGTCTCATATTCAATTAGCGGTCATGGCAGTATGTGAGTTTTATCGAATATGGTGTCTCATTGAGCGTACCAGATCCTTAATAACCCCATTCAGAAACTATTTGAAACCATATCGTAATTCATTCATCTGTCATTCTGTTGGGGTCAGGATGTGTGGGGACGGTTGGGGTACGGTGGGCAATTCCACCTTTTGGGTAGATAGATTGAAGTTGAAAATTAAAGTATCATTAATGATGTTTTGCTTGACACCAGTTAATGACATAATTGGCATGCCATTGTTAGCATCATCTTAACAAGTACACACCCAACAACATGGACAGCCCGGTGGTTCATGAGATTCAAGAGTTAAAAGTGATTTTGAAAGTTGTTACAAACCTACAAATTAGCAGTGCCCTTCGGATTTAGGGCCACAATGTATCTCACTATGAATTTTATGGTCCTTTTCAAAATGAACTTGAGTTGTTTTGTGCTAAAAATTACATGTACTCATTTATTGAACAAAACTTAGATACTTCCTTCGTATTTTTTTTGTTTACTACGATAGGTGTTGACACATTTTTTAAGAGTGAAATAGTAGGGGTAATGAATAGTGTAGAAACAGTAGGAAAGATGGTGGAAAAGTATGAATGAGAAGATAAAAAGTAGAAAAAGTAAGGGTAGTTAGGTATTTTTAAAGGAAAAAATTGTCAAAACGGAAAGTGTAGCAAAATTTTGAATACATCCAAAAAGGAAAGTATAACAAACAAAAAAATATGGAGGGGGTATATCTCACACTTCAAAAGCCTTCAATCGCTCATTATGGAGACCCCTTGGATCAGAGGATAATAATGTATAATATTTAAAATGATAATGTCAATAAAAGTAAAACATCATAATAGGATATTGCATACGGGTGTTTAAAATTGATTTTGCTTCTTTTTCTTCTTGTTTAAAAACATAAGTATAATTAGAATCAGTTTTTCTAAAGTTAGTCTCCACCAGCTTCTAAATGATTGCTTTTGGAAGTTATTTTGGAGCACTAATAAGTATTCTACACTTTCACCCAAATATTTCAATAAATGGTTCCCCTCTTTGAAGTTTGAAGGAAGGGAAACAGTAGATGCGTACACAATAGTAATACATATCAAATATTGCACATCATAGGTGGTGGAGATGTGAAGCCTCAAAAGAATGATTGCCAAATGCCTATATAAACATTTACTGGAAATGTAAATGTGTGGTGGAAAGTTGTGCAGATGAGAGAGAAATGTGTAAGAATGGTTGTGAACCACAAATCCTTTGCTAAAAAATGAAAGAGGAGATAAATTTGGGGCGGACCAAAAAGGAAAGAATGAAGATAATTATGGGACGGAGGGAGTATAATTTATGAGATAAATGTCAAAATTTTAAACTTTGATTCACTCGATATAAAATTCTAAACCCCGATGCCAGTGGTGGAACCAGACATTTATGGTTAAAGGGGCCGGTCCTTAAGAATTTTATATTGCAGGGGTCAAAATTTAAAATATCAACATACTTTCTACAGATTAAAAGTATTTATACATAATATATACTTAAGAATTTTTTTTTCTTGCAGGGACCGTGGCCACCTCCAGCCCCTCCCTGTCTCCACCCTGCCCGATGCCTCTCCCAATCATATATTTCTGGCTTTGTCACATTAAATAGCAACAATTATATAAAAATAAGAAATATTTATCTCGTGTCACCGAGGACATTGTTTTAAGAGAATAAGCAATTATAATGTTATGTCGCATTATATTATCAAGGACCTCGTTCAAAATGTGTCAATGATGATAAAGTTAATTCTCCCAAGATAATATATTCTGAATAATTAAATCAACAAATTAAGAAGTTATACTAAAAGATATTAAATTGCTAAACGGAATTCAAATATGCTAAAAACTAATTATATAAAACCAGTGCTTCTATGATATCTTCATTTAAATATCGTCATTTAGAATTCATGGGTACTTTTACAGGATTCTCAAATGTTACCTACTATGATGATTAGTTTAAGTATTCTCTCGACCAATATTTTTTTGAATGGCACTAGGTTGTACGGAAGAAAGGAAATTTGTACGTAAGAATGGCACTAGGTTGCAAAATCAAAGTACAAAATGACATTTTAAAAATACTTGGCACAAGTAGGGGTGATAAAATTGAACTGAAAACCTAAAATCAACCCTAGCCTGAATAAAAAATGTGATTGGGTTTCTTATTTTTGGATGACCCGGAAAATAATCTAGCCCAAACCCAAAAAGTCGGGTTCACTAGCAGTCCCTAAAATCTATAACCCAGCCTAAACTAGTCAAAATCCAAAAGAATTACCTTTAATACTAAATCAATACTATCCTCCGTCTCTTATTAATCGCAACATGTTGAATTTTACACTATTCACATGTTCTACTTTGACTACATTTTATATTATTATTTTATGAAAATTATTTTTTTTAAAAAATATTGTTCAATTCATCTCATTACAAATTTTTAAAATCTAATTTTAAAATATTTTTTTACTAATAGAGATTAAGATATAATTACGGTCAAAGACGTGCATTGACAAGTGTGAAATGTTGACCGTTGCAACTAAAAAAGAACGGAGGAAGTATAATATACCAATATTACTTAGAATTAATTCCTAATATATTATAGAGTATTATAATTAGCATGTTGGACAAAAAAGTGTCTCAGGAACTTTTAATCACTATAATCATATTCAATTTGTATATTCTTAGTAACTTTAGTCACATTTTTATATATCTTAAACATACAATTAAGATAAAATTTTCCGTTTGAATTTGTGTTGGTGATTTTGAAGATTAATATTTGTCTTATTATTTACAATTTGAATTTTTGAGTAATTTTATTTGAAAATTAGTTTTAAAATATAAAAGGATAAGATTATAATTTTTCTTTCGGGCTTTAACCGGCCCAACCTGAATCCGGATCGGACCCAACTATCAAAAACCCAGCTCAGATCAAATATAGTGAACCTTGTTCCGATCTGTAATGTTCATAACCTGATATTTTATGGGTAATTTTAGGGTTTAGCAAAAATTCAGCCCTCTAAGAGATTGGACCGATCCCAGTCCAGGCATGCGTCATAGATGAGGGACTACATTCACACCAAATTTGTAAACCCTAGGAAGGATATAAAGCTGAAATTTTGTACTCGTAATATCCAAAAAAGTGCCTTTTCAACATAGTCCTTGGTAAATAACGACGCATTAGGTATCCCTTGCTAAATAACGACGCATTAGGTATCATGCCATAATTACCTATAAACTATACTACGTACGAAGTATAATACAACGTACAAATATGGTGGATATTGGCATTTGGTAATACGTAACATGTGGGGCGCGCATATCAACTTTGGTTCGATTTTAATTCGTTTTCGGTCTGGCTCACTTTAAATAGATTGAAAGAACGGTTATACAAATACTATAGATTGAAAGAACGATTTTTATTCAATTTTATTCGATATTTTTTTACAGTTTTAGTTCGATTCGATTTTATTTGATTTTTTCATGATTTCAATTTGATTCATTTTAACATGATTGGGAAGAAATACTACCAAAATCAAATCAAAGTGCATATGATTTAGTTTCGATTCAATTTAGTTCTACTTGATACAGTTCATTTATACCGAACCGATATGTACAAGTACAACCCTAAGCAAAAATATTGATATGCCAGTACATAGTATTTGAAGTATAATACGAAGTATACTAGTATGAAAATGAAAATGTATGAATGATTTAGAAAAAATTATCAAATGTGTACGTGTACTATCACGAAAACGTCAATTACACCATCATAATTTAAAAGAACTCAATTGAATATAGGAATTTTGAAAGATGTTCAATTGAGCTAATTAGCAAATTAATCGCTCAATCAGCAATTTACTTGCACACACTTGGCAGCCCATGTGCATACAGTGTACCACGTCACCAAATAACTGATGGGGTGGGTATTTGATATTTCTATAATTCACTATTGTTCATATATAATGGTAAATTGTTCATATATTAATGCACTATAAGAATAACTCCACCTATAAAAGACTTGGCCAACTTTCTTCTCAACTTCTCGAGTGAAACTTGGACCATTTAGGAATTCTAAATCTTACTATTCACCACTTGCAATGAGTCTCTTAATCTTGATCTAATATACAGAGTACATTTTTAAAAAACATAAAAACCCCCAAAATTAGTGAAACACCAAATCTCTATCTCTATCACATTGAATGCCAAAAATTTGTGGCTTGCATGTTAATTAAAGTATAAGAATATAGATAGTAATTGACATTTTCATGAAAGTACAAAATCTATTTGAAAGTTTTTCCAATGATTTATAAATACTCCGTCCTAAAACTATGAACGGTTTTTTACAAATATAAGCTATTGCAAGGAAATAAAAATGCAGAAATGCTTCAGCTGCGGCCGAATGAATGAATGATGTATCTGTTCCATATAGATCCAAAATATACGGAGTGCTTTTTTCCCTTGGCATGAGATTACAGAAAACAGCTTCAGCAAGAAATTCTGCTTAGTTACCAATTTTGAGATGAATTTTAAAGTGAGATTAATACATATCACAATGATACAGTTCAGCAGATTAGTTGTCAGGCCAACAAAAATTGGATACACTAACACTACCTAAAAATAATGAACAACTCCCTCCTCCCATCTAGGACTAATTGAAAACACACATGTACAAGCACAAAAGTGAAAAAGGACAAAAAAGAAAACCTAGGTTTACAAATGGATGCATCATTACAATACTCTGTGATGTGGAAGGTATATTATACACACATTTGGAGGGCATCCCTTCCTCTGTAGTCACCACAGAAGCACGTTCTCTTTCTCATTTCTTAAGATGATATCGGCTCATATGGATAGGAGAGCCAAGGATGTTTTAGGGCCTCTGAGGCAGAGGGGCGCTTCTTCGGGTTAATCTCTAGTAGATGAGTCAAAAAGTCAATGAACCCTTGATCCCCCATTGGTAACCGGTGCCTTAAGGATGACTTTTTGGGGATTAGGTATTCAAGTCGATCGGTTTCCTGAAGACAAAATGCCCAAAATTAAATACAAACAAGTACACTCTATTACTGTTTGGTGCAATATAGTAAACCCACACACACACGTCACACATCACCATGAACTGTCTGTGCATAAATTCTTTCATAATACATAAAAATTTCATCAAAAACATTTATCCATGACTAAATATTTCAGTACATAATAACAGATGCAGGCAAATGGATGTGAATGCAGTAGTAGTAATGGCTGGATTGCAAATACCATTGTAATAGATGGATAGTAGATTACTAAGAACTACTCCGTAATATATCTATTCTTAAATAATTATCTCTAGAGAAAATGATTTGTTCTCAATTTCCATCATTTGCAATGGAGCCAAAGATTCATTATTTTTTGGCTTGAGATTATGATGGAATAAAGCATAATGGCTCACTAAACTGTCTGCTCTTCTTTGTTATGAAACAGCAGTTAGTCCATGCAATTTTGGACGCGATTTTCACTATGGGTCATCCGGAAACAGTCTCTCTGTGCTATAGTACAGGGGTAAGACTGCGTACATCCGACCCCCCCTCCTTACCCCACCGTAGGTGGGAGCCTTTTGCGGCACTGGGGTAAATGAAAAAAAAGAAAAAGAAAAGAAAATGATTTGTTCTCAAATATGTGATGCTTTAAAATATCAAGAAAGAATTAATACTCCCTCCGTATTTTTTTGTTTGATACACTTTCCTTTTTTGGATGTATTGAAAAATTTGCTACACTTTCCATTTTTGGTAAGTTTTTCCTTTAATACTACTCAATTACCCTTATTTTTTCCACTTTTTATCTTCTCTTTCATACTTTCCACCATCTTTCCTACTTTTTCTACACTATTCATTACTCTTACTATTTCACTCTTTAAAAATGTGCTATTGTAGCAAACAAAAAAATACGGAGGGAGTACTATTTTACATATCTTTACTGATATAAATAAAAGGAATGTAGTCATATACCGGAGTAATAGTATATTTATCTTGATTTACGAAAAGTTTATTGCTTACTAGCCTGAAGGGACATTTATTTGAGAACAAAGAGAGTTACAACTTACAACCGCCTACATTTCCCCCTTCAAATTGATCTCAACTATGCTTTGCATGACCTCTCTTAGGCAGTTAGGCCCCACCTTGCGTCTAGTGCTTTTTAGAGCATTATATAGTAGTAATATGGAATTGATCATAAAACAAAGATCTTAAGAAAAGAAAAAGATCAGTGTCATATGAAACTAACCTGATTTTTTTCATAAAGCATGTGATTTTTGGTAAAATATTTGAATGCATCTTTTCCTTTAGCAAGCATCTCTTGGTCAATTGGAGCTATAATACCAATAACTCGAGCAAGTAATGTGGCAGGAGATTCGTTCTGGAAAAGGACCTGAAGAGAAGGACAAACATTGTTGAGCATCTATGGGTACCCAAAGAAGCAAATAGGTTCATTAAAAAAGTCGATCATTCAATGTGTCTACCAAAAACCAAATGCTACATATAAACTAATCATGTTTATTCATAAGTTACACATAATAACTCATTTTTCGATCAATCCATTGCCTATCAACAAGACGATGTCATTGGAAATAAAGTGATATAAGCAAGACAAGTGCACATTTAAAACCATATGTAGGTTAGGTTATGTCTAATAAAAATTAATAGATCATACTTGTGAACATAGAATACTTATTTAACCAAAGGTACATAGAAAATAAATATCTAAAACTAGTATAGAGGCATAAGG